CCACCCCCGTCCTCGGGAAGCCGTCGCAGCAGCTACTCTCCGGGTCCTTGCAATAAACTCAGCTGCTGAGCGACTCAGCTGCGTGTCTCTGAGCCTCGGGTCCGCGGGTGGCAGGAGCTGGGAACGGAGCTCGGGCCCTGGCCGCCCTCCAACATCCCCGTGCACCGCCACCGCCATCTCGCTCACGCGCCCCGCCCCCTACAGTCCTGCCTCACCCCCAGAGCAGGTGCCAGGAAAAGTTGATGCCACCTCAGAGAGAAGCGCCGCAGGGCGATGTCCCCTGATAAGCTAAGTACTAGGGCAGGACTAAGGAATGGTGGTGGTGCCTGGTTAAGGCGTTTGGCTGCTAACCAAAAGGTCAGTGGTTTGAAGGAACCAGCCGCTCCCTGCCAGAGAGATGGGGTTGCTTCCCTAGAGATTTACAGCTGGTCCCACTCCAAAGGGCAGAGAGAGCCGAGGAAGGGTGGGAAGGGCCACTACCCACCCGTGACCTTCAATAAGTCTCCCTGTTGAGAGAAACAATTCTCATATTAATAGCGTAGTTCAAGGTGTTTTTAACTCATTAATGAGACAGCGGCATTATAAAGAAGGAGGCTGTGAGAAGCGGACACATGTATGTAGTCAGTGGAGGAAGAAAAAGAAATCCCCAATGAAAACTGCTAAATTCGATTTGTAAAAGCTGGTGGATATTTTATAGCACATTTGTTTCAGGTCCCATAACCTTTAAGCCAGTTGCCGTTGAATCAGTTCTGACCCATGGCGACCCAGTGGGTGTCGGTGGAACTGAGCTCCACAGGGCGGGGGTGGTTCTTTGATGTGGAGCGCTTGGCGAACTTGTGCGGCAGGCTCTCGCGGGGGCCACGCTGGCGCGCTCCGTATGGCTCCCGTGTCAGCATGCGTGCTGCCGTAGCAGGTGCCATGCTGCACAGGGTTTTTACTGTTGTGGGGGTGGACGGCCGGGCTTTCATCCCAGGGCCTCTGACTGGACTTGAACGGCCAGGCTTTAGCTGAACATGTTAACTGTTCGCACTGCCCAGGGACGCCCCGTCACTTCAAAACACCCCAAGCCATTCCCACGCAGCCCACCTCACGGCCACCCCTGCCACCCCTGCGTTCCCGAGTAGAAAAGATGGTCCGGCGATGATCTGGGACTGGGTCAGTGCAGAAGTGAACAATATGTGCCCACTGTCTGTACTTTGGAGTCCCTGGCTGGAGCCAGTGGTTAAACCCTTGACCACTAGCCAAAAGGTTGGTGGTTCAAGCCCACCCAGAGCACGTCAGAAGACAGGCCCGGCACTCCGCCCCTGAAAGAGCACGGCCTTGACGAGCCTGCGGAGCAGTTCTCTGCACACGGGCCATTGTGAGTCAGAACAGATTCCCTGCCGCCGACAACCACAATCCACCAGACAGGCACCAGTGGGGCCATGCATGAGCCCTCCCCTCCAAAGGCCTCCAGCACCTCAGCCTGGAAAAGCAAGTGCACTGACGGTAATACCACGTGGCTGCAGGAATTAAGTCTCACTGAGCCCCTCCCCAAATACCTCTAAACCACAGAAGCTTCCAGATCCCCAACATAGGGATCTGCTGCTGTCCTGGGTTGGGTATACCAGCCGTCTGGCAGCCCAGCCAATGGTTGCATGGGCTCCAAGGTAGTCTAAGATGTTTTCATTCCTACACGTTCCCCTGGAACTGCTTGTCAAAGCGGGCTAGTAGGGAGGCCATGAGCTGGGCCCCGCTCCCCTGGTCTCTGTCATCAGGCTTCTGGCTGATGGTCATCTGAGCTCCAGTGGACCCACCCAGCTCAGACCTGGCTTCAGGGGCTCAGCGGAAGCAGCTTTGTCCCTGGGCTCCCCCCAGGCCTCACCCTGCCTTTTCTCCCAAGTGGAGGAGCAGGCAGGAGGGAGGTTTTTTTCAAGATGGAAGAAATTAATGGGAAGGTGTAGGCAGGTGGGAATGATCCGGGCAAGGCAAACATGGAGCAGGAGGGAGGGGAACTCACTGGAGCCATCTGTCCAGTGGTTGAGGGGCTGGGCTCCAGTACACAGAGTTGAGGTGGGCTGTAGACAGGGTGTGGGCAGTTCACCATAGTAACCAGAGAGAGGGCATGAGGAGATGGGCTGGGGGCCGGTGGCCAGCTGAGAGCGAGGCTTGGGGAAGATTGTGTTGGTGGCTTGAAAAGAGAGAGAGGGAGAGAGAGAGAAACCATTTCTGTGGAGTCCATTGCAACTCATGGCAGCCTTAAGGGCAGAGTAGAGCTGTCCCAGAGGTTTACAAGGCAATGACTTTACATGGGCAGATCACCAGCCAGGTCGTTCTGTGGAGTGGCTGGTGGATTCAAACCGCCAACCTTTCAGTTAGCAGCCAGGCACTTAACCACTGTGCCACCAGGGCTCCTTGAGAGAAGGGGGTCTAAAATAGTTGTCTAAGGGCAGGGAGAGTGACGGGCCAGGGGGAGGCAGGAGGGGTACCTGGCAGTGCAGAGGGCCTGCTTGAAGTTTGTGACCATAAATGTAGAGCAAGGTCATGTGACTCCAGGTGCCAGGCAGGTGCAGACACAGAGGAGACGGCAAGTCGGATGTAACCAGGTGAATGTGACCAAATGGTCGGGGGGTTGAGAGGGTTTGCAAGGAGAGTGGTGCAGGACAGTGAAAGGGAGGAGGCCCAAGTGAAGGGGGTCCCACAGGGACTGCAGAGCTACTGGAGTTGCAGTGACAGGCAGTGAGCTGGGAGGATGGAAGGTGGGTGGCGCTTTAGTGATCTCAGGTGCACTCCATCCCACACTCACACCAGGCATTCAGGGAGGGACCACACGGCTGCCACCATGCACCCAACCAGGCCGAGGAAGGAAATTGACGTTTGTGTCTGGGGCCTCCAGCAGTGTGGACACCAACTGGCTCCAATGGCCTGGACTAACTAATCTCTTGGGTGCCCCACATCCTCACACTCACAGGAGTCACCCACTCAGATGTCACCCGCTTGTCCAGGAGTCGTGGCTGTGACTTTACATGTTCAAGGAGCTGCTTTGAGGAGAGGGGGCTGCTGCCTCCTGGTGTCATTTCCACATCTGTTCCTCAGCTTGTCAGCTGACCTTGGCATTCCACTGCCAGCCTGGTGCTGCCTGTCCTCCCCTGCTCTCAAGGAATGTATACTGTCCCTATCCTGATGGGCCTCTGATAAGATCCAAGGTCATATTCTGGGCACTGATAATCACCTCGCCAAGAATGGCAGCTTCCTGGTGCCCCTCCCTGAAGTCACTGTTGACACCACACCCCCTCCTACCCCAGTCCTCCCGTGTTCACCCACCAACAGCACAGAGGAGATGAGCAGGGGATAGGTGCAGGGGGTGTCAGCGAAATGGGGTTGGGAGCAGGAAGGGCCTGCTGTGAGAGGCAGCCTGTGAACACACACACACAAGGGCCACGCTGGCCCAGCTCCTGCAGCTCCTCAGGCACCTTTAGGCCAGTCTATGGCCTACAGCCTGGCTGGACAGCGTCCCAAGGCAGGATGGCCATGGCGAGTAGGAGTCCAGGGGACCTCCCTGCCCTGCCTGTTCTCAGTAATGAGGTCTGGAAGAAGCTCAGGACTTGGAGACCCCTCGGGGTCTCTCTGCATTTGTGCAGGCCGGCCCACTGCATGGACGCCTGCTCCTTGCCTGCTCTGGGTGCAGAATGCCTCCTCATCCTTGGCCCCTCCTACACAGAAGTCCTCATCCTCCCCACTGAGAGCACTCTGGCCCTTGTCTATGGGGCACCTCCCATTGGTTGAGAACAAAGCCTGTGTGTCTGTCCTGCTGCGCTGGATTCCTGAGCCTTTGCTTCCCCGGTGGCCACACGGTCTGCTTAGAGCTGACTGAAGACATGCTGCTTGCGTGTGTACGTGAAGGAGTGAAGAAATGAGTAGGTGGATGGCTGGATGGGTGTCAGTCCCAACTCATAGTCACCCTTCCTTGGGTTTCCGAGGTAGTATCACTACGGAAGGAGGTTGCTCAACCTTCCTTCTGAGGAGTGCCTGGTGGGCTTGAACCGCCAGCCTTCTGGTTAGCAGTCAGATGCCTTAAGCACTACACCACCAGAGCTCCTATATATAAGTAAAAGAGTGAATAAATGAGTAGATGGATGGATGGATGGGAGGGAAGGTGGGTGGGTGCATGGATGGATGGATGGATGGATGGATGGATGGATTCCACATAGGACGTGGGGGTGGAGAAGGAAGTCACCTTGCCAAGGAAGTACAGGCCTCTCCCACTGTTCTCTGTAACAGCTTCCTTTTCCAAGAGTCCCAGCTCCTCCCCTAAGTGAAACTCCCTTTAGGATAGATCAAAGGATTTTTCTGGGTCCTCCATCTTCCTTTAGTTCTGGGTTTTGTTTTTCAGGGGTCAGATGAAGGAGGGTGAGTGCCTGAGTTCTACTGTGCTTCCACGATGTGCTGGGCACTGGGTTAGATAGACATTTCTACTGACACCATCTTGCTGAATGACATCATCATAACGCTTTTCTGAAGTAGGGCCTATTAACCCCACTTCACAACTAAGAAAATAAGTGAATTGCACAAGGCCACACCTCTGACTTCGCACAAGGATGAGATTAAGACTCAGAAGCTGCCCAGGCAGGCAGGGCTGATGAAATGACGCCAAGAGGGACCAAGGCAGTGATGGCGGGCAAAGGCCCAGCCCTGCTCGGACACAGGAACTCTGAGTTCCAGGTCTGGCATGGCCTCTGTCCTCCTAGGAGAGCCTGGGTGAGACCTTGCCTCCCCCGCTGGGCCTCAGTGTCCCTGCCTTTGGCGGGCCCTTCCGGGTGAGTGATGTGAGGACTGAGGCGGGTGTGAGCAGCTGCGGCCCCCACACGGAGCAGCCTCCAGCCCGGGGATGCTGCACTCTCCCTGCCCACTGGGGCCAAAGGGCAATGCCACGCACAGGGTAATGGTTAACAGGCCTGAGCCCGACACCCCATCTATAAGGAGCCCCAGCCCGGGCTGCCCCAGCTGACTGACACCACAGGATGCAGTGGGCAAAGGGGCTGGGGCTCGGGCTGGGAGCGGCTGCGTTCTTGGGGCTGGGGGTCATCGTGGGCCACTTCGCCATCCCCAAAGGGGCTGACCCGCCGGCCTCCCAGGACCTGGACCTGGAGGTCCTGGACACTGTCATAGGACAGCTGGAGGCCGGCGGGATCCAGGAGAACCTGAGGTGAGAGGCATGCCTGGCCGCCCGCACTGTGCCAGAAGCCCCTCCCTGACAATGCCCGGGCCCTCCCTCCTTCCACCTGCAGAGAACTTGCCCGGGAGCCGCACCTGGCCTCCAGCCCCCGGGACGAGGCCCTGGTGCAGCTGCTGCTGCAGCGCTGGCAGGACCCAGCGTCAGGCCTGGACGAAGCCTCGGCCTCCACATACGAGGTGCTGCTGTCCTTCCCCAGCCCGGAGCAGCCCAACCTCGTGACCGTGGGTGAGGCCCTGCTCAGACCTGGGACTGCCTGTGGGGACGGGGCAGGAGCTCTGGTGGCCTAGCGGTTAAAGCATTTGGCTGCTAACCAAAAGGTGGGTGGTTTGAACCCACCAGCCACTCCACAGGACAAAGATGAGGCGGTCTGCTTCCATAAAGATTATAGTCTTGGTTATGAGACCGGAAGAATTAAATGGTGCCTGGCTACCTATGTCAACCACTTGGAGAGGGATCTGGGTAGGAGATCCTGGATAAAGTGGGAGAACAATGTAGAATAAAACTCAAGATCATAAAAGAAAAACAGACCAGGTTTGCTGGTCTGATGGAGCCTGGTGGAACTTCTGGGACTATGGCCCCTCACTGCCCTTCAGGTCTGGAATGGAACCCACTCCTGGGGCTTCCAGCCAAACAAAAGACAGGCATATGAGCTGAACATTTACATTAGGTAGATACACTCCTTGGAGAGATCAATCATGGGAGAATAGAAGGGCTGTGTATGCACAGGGAGACAGCTCAGGGGGCAGGAGTGCATGGGAGGGAAGGACACAAGGAAAAGGTAACTATGGGGAAGAAGTGGGAAGAGAGTTGTCGCATTGTGGGAAACTGCAGTCAATGTCATGAGACAAAGTATATGTGAACTGCTGTACGGAAGGTGAATTTGCTCTGTAAACTTTCACCCAAATCACTATATATATATACATACATACATCTGGGGCAGTTCTACTCTGTCCTAAACACTCACTGTGAGTCAGAATAGACTCTATGGCAGTAGGTTTGGTTTTATGGTTATGAGGCGGGGGGCTGCCAGGCCAGCCCTGACACTGTCCCCTCCCATCAGTGGACCCTATTGGGGAAATCCTCTTCTTCTGCAACCAGAGTGAGAAGAACCTGACTGGGGAGCAGGGGGGGCCCGACGTGGTGCCACCCTATGCCGCCTATGCTCCCCCCGGGACCTCACAGGTGGGCTGGAATACCCTTTCTCCTCTGCTATGGGCCAGCTCCCCCTGCCTCACCCCCCAACTTCCCCAACTCTGCCCCAGTGGCGACAAGGAAAAGTGCCTCACCTAGGGCTCAGCATTCAGGACTCCTTGCCTCCACACTCCCCCCCCCCCGACTCCTTTCCTCCATCACTTAGTCATTCAACAAACGCGAATGACTCCTGCTCCAGGCCAGACCTGAAACGGGCACTTGGACATAGAAGGGATCCCTTGTCACACTGCCCTCAGGGAGCTTACAACCTTGGGGGTGAACCAGAATCTAAATCTTTCATCCTAACACTCAGCCTCCCCTCTCCTCTCCTCCCACTGCCCTTCCCTGCACCCTCTGCTGAGGATCACCTCCTCTTTGGTAGGGCCTCCTCGTCTACGCCAACCAGGGCACAGAAGAAGACTTCATGGAACTAGAGGCTCAGGGCATCAAGCTCAATGACACCATTGCCCTGACTCGATATGGAGGTGTGGGCCGCGGGGCCAAGGTAAGCAGCAGCCCCCTGGTGCAGGGACCTGGGGTGGGCAGGGGGGCCAGCCACAGAGCAGAAAGGGGAAGAAGCAGGTTGAGTGGTGGGCTGCACCTTGGGCTGGGGGCGGGCCAGGTACAGAAAAACTGAGCAGAATCCTTGGGTGGCACAGACAGTTGTCACTTGGCTACTAACAGAGAGGTTGGCAGTTCAAGTCCCCCAGAGGTGCCTTGGAAGAAAGGCCTGGCAATCTGCAAAAGGCCCCATCGAAAGCCCTACGGGGCAGGTGCACTCTGGCACACATGGGGTCACCACGAATCAACTTGATGGCAACTGATGTTGTGCCACTGACTTGCTGTGTGACCTTGGGTGCTTCCCTAACCTCTCTGTTTTAAGAGATAACGGCATTGGGCCAAGTCTTCCTGTGAGGTAGTTCTTTCAAATATTCAACTTAAATCCCTCCTGTTGTCCCCTCTGCTTTTTTTCAATTAAAATTTTGGACTAGGCATTATATGTCAATGGTTTAAACACTTTTATTTTTTAATAAAAAAAAGTGTTTTAATAAAAAATGTTGTTGCTGGGTGTTGCTGGAGTCGATTCCAGCACACAACGCCATACGACAGAGTAGCACTCCCCGTAGGGTTTCTCGACTGTAGTCGTTATGGAAGCAGGTCACCAGGTGTTTCTCCCTGGGGCCCCTGGATGGGTTCCAGCCATCAGCCTTTTGGTTAGCAGCAGAGTGCTTAACCGTTGTGCCACCAGGGCTCCTCAGTTCTCTAGTGCTGCTGTAACAGAAATACCACAGTGGTGGCTTTAACAAACAGACATTGTCTCACAGTTCAGGAGGCTAGAAGTCCAAATTCAGGGTGCCACCCCTCAGGCGGGCCTTTCTCTGTTGGCTTTCGAGGAAGGTCCTGTCTCTTCAGCTCCTGCTTCCTTTCCTTGGGTCTCCGTGTGGGTTGGCATCTATCTTCCCCCATCTCTCCTTCTAAACTCGCTTGTTTAGTTTAATCTCTTTTATATCTCAAAGGACATTGACTCAAGACAACCCTACACTAATCCTGCCTCATTAACATAACAAAGACAGCACATTCCAAAACGGGATTATAACCATAGGCATCAAACTAAAACCAAACCCATTGCCATGGAGTCAATTCCAAGTCATAGTGCTCTTAGAGGACAGAGTAGAACTGTCCCTATAGAGTTTCCAAGGCTGTCATCTTTACAGAAACAGACTGCCTCATCTTTCTCCCTTGAAGCTACTGGTGGGTTCGAACTATTGACCTTTTGATTAGCAGCCAAATGCTTTAACCACTGTGCCTCCAGGTGTTAGGATTTACAATACATATATTTGGAAGACATGATTTAATCCACAACATTCCACCCTTTGGCCCCCCAAAATCCATGTCCTTGCCACATGCAAAACACATTCACCCCGTCACATCACCCTCAAAGTCTTAAATGAACCCCAAGTCCCACATCTCCTTTTCTGAATCATCTAAATCAAATGTGGGGGAGACTTGAGGCATATTCCATCCTGGGGCAGGATTCCGCCTCATCTGTGAACCTGTGAAAAAAGGAGGAAGCGCTAACCTTTGTTTTTCAAAGAGGTAACAACTTGTAGGAGTTTATGTGGTGTCCACCTACTGGGATAAGCACATGCTGATGAGTATTCTTAGCCCGTCTTTTTAGACACGAAGGTCACATTGACCATGACCCCCTCTGCTGAGCCACGCAGTAGCCATGCTGCTTCCCTCTAATGCATCCTGATGATCCTTCTGTGTCAGCCGTACACACATACACACACACACACACACACATACACCACATTCCTGGCCTTTTATGCCAGCTGCTGCTGGTGATGTCCGCGATATTTCACCAGACCCACTGACACACAGCTGGCTTTGTTTCCAGCGTCTGCCACTGTAAGCCGCATGGCAGTAAACGGTTTGGGAAGACAGAGCTGTTTCCAGGAGGGAGGGAGAGGAGCAGGACGGCCCCTCACTGCCGGCCTCCTCTGTTCCCTGCAGGCCATTAATGCCGCCAAGCATGGGGTGGTTGGGGTGCTGGTGTACACGGACCCTGCTGACATCAATGACGGCCAGAGCTTACCTAACGAGACCTTCCCCCACTCATGGCGCCTGCCTCCCTCGGGGGTGGAGCGAGGCTCCTACTATGAGTATTTTGGGGACCCCCTGACTCCCTACCTTCCGGCCACCCACTCCTCCTTCCGCCTGGACCCTGACTCTGTCTCCGGATTTCCCCCAATTCCCACGCAGCCCATTGGCTTCGACAGTGCACAAGTCCTGCTCTGGTGAGCTGGTGCCCTGGTCCCCTCCCACCCCCTGGGGCCTGAAAACTTTAACCCCTACACCCACTCTGAAGGCCCCCGTGTCTCCCAGTAACCTCCGGGGAAACATGGCGCCAGACACTTGGCAGGGAGCTCTGGGCTGTGACTACAGATTGGGGCCCGGCTTCCGGCCTGACGGGCGCTTCGGTGAATACAGGTGAGTGGGGCCCACTTTTCCAGCTGTTCTCGCTCCCCTCTCCCCCGTTATTCTGCCCCCACCCTGGGCTTTCTCTCTTCCCACGCTACAGCCTGGCCTATTGCTTCTCTCTTCCATCTCCTCCTGTCACCCCAAAACATCTGCCATGAAACAGATGGGGGCCTGTAAGGCCTTGTGGGGTCCCTCCCGCCCCTCCCCACTTCATCTCGGACCCTGACATGTGGTTTGCAGGCCCCTTTCTTGAACACCCCCAAAGCTCCATTTTGCTGTTCTCTGCTGGGAACAGCGTTCCTTCCCCCCGCAGGCTCGCCCCCGCAGGCTCGCCGGCAGCCGGGCTTCCCTCTCTACAGCGCCCCCTGGCCGCCAGGGGACTCTCGTACATCAGCTTGTCAGTGACTCCCGGGCCTTTTTACTTCCCTAAGGGCCCAGGCCACGGCTGCCTAGTTCTTTGCCGAGAGACTAGCATGGCGGAGGCATGCACCGAGTGCCCGATGAGTAACGACCGAGTGAGAGAGCGAACGAATGGAAAGCAGAGTTGGAGTCACAGGGCTCTAGGCTGCTGACCCTCGCTCCCCACTGGCTCCAGTCTCTCCTGGATTGGACGAGGGAGGGTTCGGGGCCAGGACCCTTGACCCGCTGTCCACCTCCCCAGCCAGGTGAACGTGAGTGTGTACAACCGCCGGGAACTGCGGAACTCCTCCAACATCCTGGGGCTCATCCGTGGAGCTGTGGAGCCGGGTGAGCACCTCGTGGCTGCTCGTGGCGCCCGAACCCTGCCCCACCTCCTCCCATGGTGTGCTGACCCTCTGCTGCTCCCTCGGCCAGACCGCTACGTGCTCTATGGAAACCACCGGGACAGCTGGGTGCACGGGGCTGTGGACCCCAGCAGCGGCACCGCGGTCCTCCTGGAGCTGTCTCGCGTCCTGGGGACCCTGCTGAAGAAGGGTGAGCCCCTCCCCCAGTCAGGGCCTTCCCCCCAGGGGGGCCACTTCCAGCCCCGCCCTTCCTGAGCCCATGGACCTCCTGTTCTGCCTCCTCTCATTCTTCAGGGCTTACATGCCAAGCCTGGGGGCAGAGAGGCACGGGGCAACAGGCCTGGCCTGAGTAACCCCAGGTGTGACAGGGACCGGAGGGTTGGTTGGTTGAGTCCTGGAGCTAGGCCCAGGTGTCTCCGTCTGGAAGGCAGTGTCCAGCCTCTGTTCCCTGGGGAACAGCTGCCCTGCTGAGGACAACATACATCATGAACTCAACAGATCATGTCTCCACTACATGCCAGGCTAGTTCCAGGCAGTGGAGATGCCCCAGTGGACACCTCAGAAGCCCTGCGTGTGATGACAATTGTGACATGTGCTATAAAGAAAAAAAATACCCAAGGTGCTAGCCACTTCCGGGGACGCCATCTCTGAAGACAGTGGTTAGGCTTCAGGGCGGGGCAGGAGGAGGAAGTTCTGGGGGTTGGAAGAGGCCGGCAGCTGGAAGGATGGCCGGTGTGGCCTGAGGTGGCAGAGCAGGGGGGATCAGGGGTGGAGGCCTGAGGGGCCGGTCAGGGAGTCTGTCCCCAGGCACTGGGAAACCACTTACTGGTTTTCTATTGCTGCTGTAACAAGTGTCGTCCTTCAAACAATGACCCCTGTACAGCAGCTGTTCGTGTCAGAAGGCTGATGCAGGTGTCACTGGGCTAACACCGGCAGGGCTGCCTTCCTTCTGAAAGGTCTGGGGAGATCCCTTTTCCCTGCCCTTTCCAGCTTCCAGAGACCACCCGCAGTCCTTGGTGCATGGCCCTTTCCTCTGTCTTCAGCCAGCAGTGTTCCATCTCCTGGTGCCTTTCTTCTGTAGTCGGCTCCTCCTGACTGTGACCCCTCTCCTGCCTCCCTCCTCCACACCTAAGGATGCTTAATTACAATGGGGAGCCCTGGTGGTGCAGTGGTTAGCACTCAGCTGTTAACCAAAGGCCGGTTGTTTGAACCCACCAGCTGCTTCAGGGCGAAAGATGAGGCAGTTCCCTCCTGTAAAGATTGACAGCCTTGGAAACCCTTTGGGGCAGTTCCACTCTGTCCTCTAGGGGTGCCGTGAGCCGGCACCCACTCGACAGTATTGGAGTTTTTGTTCTTTTAATTACATTGGGACGTGCCCAGACCATCCAATATAATCTCCCCACGTTAGGGTCGGCTTATTAGTAACCTGTTACATGTACAACCTTATGTCCCCTTTGCCATGTAACCTCACACATTCTGAGATTCCAGGGATTAAGACATGGACATCTTTTGGGGGCAGTTATCCTGCCTACTACATTGTTCAAGGTTTTAATCAGGAGGGTGGCAAGATCAAGTCCAATTGCTGCCAAGTGGGAAAGGGGCTGGAGAGGCAGGGCCTGTGTGGAGGGACCACAGGACGGACTGTGGGGCTTGGATCAGGCAAGGGGTAGTGGGGATCCACCTTGAGCGGCCCTGGGGCCTGTTGGCTAGGAAGGGGAGGCGGAGGATGAGTTCAGGGCTTGTGGGTTTCTGGTTTCCAGTCCGAGCCATTTGGTGAGAAATAAAATGGGGTCAGAGAGGACAGGTGTTGAGGGGAAGACTGTGAATTGGCTCTTCACGTATGGATTCTGATGCCTGATGGGGACTCTGGGGCAAGGGCAGGCAGGCAGCTGAAGGTGTGAGGCTCCAGGTCAGAAGAGATTTGACAAACTGGGGAGCTGGTCACATGCATGGGAAATGAAACCACAGGTGTGGCTGAAATCCACCAAGCTGCTCTTAGTCGGGGTGGGCTAGGGAGGTCAGCACGCACAAAGGATTTACCCTTTGGGAGTGGTGGAATGTCTGTCTGTCTGTCAAAAAAGCAATTCATTTTGAAAGAATTTCACAACCAGAAATGTTGCAAAAACCATACAAAGAATTCACATGTGCCCTTCATCCTGATACTCTCAACACTACATTTCACCACATTTGCTTTTTCTATTTATTTCTGAAATGCCGGAAGGTAAGTAGCAGAAGTGCTGTCCCTTTACACATTAACACGTCACTGTGTATTTTCCTAAAAATAAGGACGTTTTCTCATACCCACAGGACAATCATCAGAGTCAGGAAATGAACAATGTGGCCAATCGCTCCCATCAGATCTATCTTAGCAATAGGGAAAAAAAAAAAAAGAAAAAGGTCCTGGTCCAGGATCCAGTCTGGGATTGGTCCAGGATCTAGTCTGGAATCACCCATTGCATGTCCCATGGCTCCTTCCACCCGGACTGGCTCTCCCGACGTTCTCCCTCCCAGTACCGACATGATTTTGCAGACTTTCAATTTGTGGGAGGTTTCCATGATGAGATTCAGCTTATATGCATCTCTGGCAAGAGTTAAGTGTGGGAACGTGTAACTGAGTGTGTAATCAATCGTGTAATAGTCCCCCCCCACCAAATCATTTGAAATGAGGAATGGTCAATGGGAGGGGCGGAAGCAGAGCCAGGAGCGCGTGCACCAAGGAGGGTCTCCGTGGATCTGAGGAAGGTGGCAGCAGCTGGATCCAGCTGTGAGAGGGGCAATTCATGACTCACGGGGGCCCCCTGGAGGTAGCTGGTGACCATAGCAAGGGCAGTGTTCGCAGAAACTGGAGACGGAAGCCAGGCGAGGATGCAGGATGTGATGAGAAGTGTGGGTCAGTGATTAGGCTGGGAAATGCTAGGGACAGACGCCTGGATGTGAACCCTGGGCCCTGTTACTTACCAGCTGTGTGAAACTAGACATGTCATTTAACTGGGCCCAGTTTTCTCAACATTTGCGTAGGCTGCAGAGCCAAGTCAGAGCGGAGGGTGAGGAGTCTTCTGAGAGCACCAGGACAAAGCAGAGAGGAGGCGGGGCATTCTGCAGGACCGACCACATGGGGCTGGTGTGTGGAGTGCTATGTGTGTATGTGGGGGCACAGCAGAGGGAGGCTGGACAAAGCTCAGAAGCCGGCTCAGTCACTGGCTGGCCCACCTCTCCCAGCTCTTCCCTCCTTACCACACTCCACCCCTCTCCTAAGCCACCCCCGGATAGAGGGGGGACCCTGCCCTCCCACCTTTATCCCCCTCCAGGCACCTGGCGACCCCGCAGATCAATCCTGTTTGCCAGCTGGGGGGCCGAAGAGTTCGGGCTCATTGGCTCCACGGAATTCGCAGAGGTGCGTGAGCCCCTCATGAAAGGGGTCGCAGGGGGTCTGGGGCAGGGAGGCCCAGCTCACGTGGCTGCTCCCGCCACAGGAGTTCTTCCGCAAGTTGCAGGAGCGCACCGTGGCCTACATCAACGTGGACATTGCGGTGTTTGGTATTGCGGTGTTTGGCCGGGGCTGATGGCGAGGGGGCAGGGACGGAAGGGGCTGGGACTGAAGGACCGGCCTCTGCTCTTCCCACAGCCAATGCCACTCTGAGGGCGCAGGGGACACCTCCGGTCCAGAGCGTCATCTTCTCTTCAGCCAAGCAGGTAGAAAGGGGTGGGGCCGAGAGCAGGCTGGGGCGGGGCTAGATGGTAGGCGGGGCTAGGTGGGTGGGTGGGTGGGACTGTGGTAGGCCTTATTAGAGGGGCTGGGGCTGGACTACACCCAGTGCTCATTTATCAACACGGTTGGTTCCAAAGACCAGGTCAGTATGTGAAAATTGGTGTTAGGCAAAAATGGAGAATGACCACGTCACATCACAAAATGGAGGACAACTCCATCACTATATAACCGCAAAATTACATCATTTCATTAACTGCCAGATTATATCGTAACTGCTAAACCAGAGAATCATGGCCCAGCCAGACTTAACCATCACAGCTAGAGTTACTGTCATCTAACACCTTGGCCTCTGTCACTGCCAGACAGACATCATTAATGTGCAAACTGTCAGACAGATTTCCCTTTTGTCTGTCATAAATCTATAATGTCGGGTAAGGAGATAGTCGCTAAGTGAGAAGTAAGTGTAGTGAGGTGCCCTGGTGGTGTGTTAAGCACTCAGGTGTTAACCAAAAGGTTGGTGGTTCCAACCCACTGGCCACTCTGCTGGAGAGAGATGGCAGCCCCCCCCAAGGAAACCCCATGGAGAAGTTCCATTCTGCCCTTTAGGGGCACTGTCACGACCAACTCATTGGCAGCGTGTCTGGGCTGATGATGGGCTGCAGACGGGGGTGGAGTGGGCCTTGTAGATGGGCTGAGGCCGAAGGCTGTCCCACTCAGATCCCTGCCCCAGGCCCCGGAGGCCTCACCATCTACGACAACTGGATCCGATACTTCAACCGTAGCAGCTCGGTGTACGGCCTGATCCCCAGGTGCGCCCGGGGCCGGGAAGGGGGCTGCTCGCTGGCTGCTGGTTCCACCACTGGCCCAGCATCCTCTAACCCGACCCTTCTTTCTAAAGCTTGGGCACCCTGGGTGCCGGCAGTGACTATGCGCCCTTCCTTCATTTCCTGGGCATCTCCTCCATGGACATCGCCTACACCTACGACCGGGTGAGTGCGTGCCCCCGTGCCTCGCGCAGGTGTCAGGATCCACGAGGCCAGCCCTCCTTCCGGCTGCCCTGATGCAGACTGAGGTCGGCCTCATCACTCAGTAGCTGTGTTATCAGCCAAGTTTCTCAACCTCTCTGAGCACGTTCATGCCCATGTAGGGAATTTTACCAAGTTGAACACACTGCTGGTTGTAAGCTGCACCTCTGCTCTGTGCACCGGTCTGAAAAAAGCAAAAAGCTGCCAGGTCCTTGCAGGATGACACTGACCGTGAGAAGATCCCGATCTCACAGGTCTTCCCAGGCTGAAAACCATGCATCTCCAATCACCGAGCTAACAGTGCAAGACAGAGATGACTATAATGCAGGGTGTGGGTGACACGAGAGACCGAGGCAGGACGCCCAGCCTGCCTCCCTGCTCCTGACTCCTTCACCACTCCCCGCCACACAGCTCTGGGCGTGGACCTGGGACCTGAATCCCCTTGTCTGACCCTCATGGACGTGCCAGGATTTAACTGAATGCCTCCTCTCACTTCCTAACCTGAGCCTGTGCCCTCTGGGCCTTGTTCCCCCAGAGCAAGACTTCAGCCCGGATCTACCCCACCTACCACACGGCCTTTGATACCTTTGGATACGTGGACAAGTTCGTGGACCCTGGTAAGGAGGTGGGCCAGGGGCTTCATGGGGCTGAAGAGCATGTGCTGAGCCCCGGCCTTGTCGCCCTGTGCAGGATTCAGCAGCCACAGGGCCGTGGCCCAGACAGCAGGGAGCACACTGCTCCGACTCAGTGACAGTCTCATCCTGCCCCTTAATGTCAGTGACTACAGTGAGACTCTGCGCGGCTTCCTGCAGGCAGCCCAGCACGGCCTCGGGGCCCTGTTAGAACAGCACGGCATTGGCCTGGGTATGGACCCCTTCACACGGAGGCCTGGGGAACCAGGCACCCCCCGAGCAGGCCTAAGCTGCTGCTGTTCCCCACAGGACCCCTGGTGAGCGCCGTGGAGAACTTTGAGAAGGCGGCCATGGCTCTGAACCAGCGAATGTTGGCGCTGCAGGAGGGCAGCCCCGAGTGAGCAGAGGCAGCGGGCGGGTGTCCGGGAGGGGTGGTCTCAGCAGGGCGGCCTGACTGCGGGCTCTACGGTGACCGGCAGGACCCACCTCCCCTAGCCCCCTGCAGGTCCGGATGCTTAACGACCAGCTGATGCTCTTAGAACGGACCTTCCTGAATCCTCGAGCCTTCCCAGAGGAACGATACTACAGGTGAGCCAGGCCCAAAGCCCCTGGGAGGTGCCCAGGGTGGGCCAGGGCAGCGGCCAATGGAGTCAGACAAAGAGGGCGTCAGAACTGCTCTGACCTTTCGGGCACGCCCAGGCTTTCAGGGCAGGCAAACCCTGAGGTCTCTCTGTGAGCCTGGATGAGAACCTACCCTCCTCCCACCTCCACTGCTCAGCTGTCCCAGCTGTCAGACCAGGGCTTCCAACCAGTTCATTCCCCACCGGACCCTCTAATAAGGCCTACGCCGGCCCCACCCACCCATCTAGCCCCGCCCCAGCCTACTCTCGGCCCCACCCCTTTCTACCTGCTAGTTTCAGACACAGGTGGTGATGGTGGGGTACTGAGCCAGTTCCAGGCTGAGGAGTGCCCCTTCCCCCGCCCCTCACTGGCCCTGCCCCTCCTCCTCTCTCCCCTCAGCCACGTGCTCTGGGCGCCCCGCACTGGAAGTGTAGCCACGTTCCCGGGGCTGGCCAATGCCTGCTCCAGGGCCAAGGACACAGCTCCTGGATCTGCAGCCTGGGCCGAGGTGCGGAGGCAGCTCAGCATTGTGGTGGCAGCCCTGGAGGGCGCAACAGCCACCCTGAGGCCTGTGGCTGACCTCTGACCCCCACCCGTTCCAACCCAGCCTTCCTGGGCTGTCTTTCCTGATTCCTGGAGAGGGCACAGCCCCAGGACCCTCATGAGCTTCTGAGGCGGCAGCTTGAGTCCCTCTAGTTGTGGAGACCCAAGGGCAGTGACAAGCCCTGGGGGAAAATCTCCATCATCTTGGCTCTTGGTTGGTAGATGGTAGCGGGCAGGAGCCAGGGAAGGTGGGGAAGGTAAAACCACCAGCTGGGTGCACGAGGGTGGGACACATGATGCCAACTCGGGCCACCAAGGCCACCCTTTAGGAACCAGTAGGGAAACTGAGCCACAGGCCAGATAGGAACTCGCCCAGCCTGGACTGCGCTCCCCTCAGCCCTTAGCATGTTTCAGCTTTCTCCTGCCAGCCCCCAAATAAATCAAGCCTCACTACCGGCCCTAATAAAACAAGTCCCTTTTATTGTTTGGGACTCTCACAGGCAAAACAATCCTAAGTGTTCTGCCCTAGTCCTGGGGTTCTGGGGCCGGCTCAGCCCTTCCCCATGCCAGGGACTCGGGTCTGTCCACTACCTCATCTTCCTCCTCTGCCATGACCACTTCCTCTAGGGTGCGACCTCCAAGTTTGCTGTCTACCAGTAGGTTGAAGGTCCGTGAGGGGGGCTGCCCCTCCTCCCTGTAGCGACCTCTCAGGAACACGACTCCCTCCTCCCCGTCCAAGGGCAGCCCATGTGCTTGGCACAGGTCCCGTGCCTCCTCGGGTCCGTCCAGGGCCAGCAGGTGCACCAAGAAGCCCAGGGGCAAGGTCTGGCCCTTGGAGGTGCTCAGGGCATAAGCCAGGCGGGCCAGGCCTCTGCGGCGGGCACGGGCCACATGGCCAAGCACCGCGCAGCTTGGCAGGTAGGACAGGGTCCGTAGCAGGCGGAACAGTCGGGCAGTGTTGCGCTCTCGGTAGGCTGCGTCGACGGCCAGAGCTGTGCGCAGAGGTGGGCAGGCACGCAGCGGGGCCGGCAGCTGCAGAACCTCGTTCAGAGCCTCCACCGAGCCTGGGGGGGGGGAGCTGGGATGAGGACGCTGGGGCCTTCTAGAATCAAGCCGATGTACACCATCAAATCCTCAGCATGGCCACTCCCTGTGGCCCTGGAGGGGTGCTCCTTAGTCCATCTCACCTGGGCTCTAGCCACGCCCCTCCCCCAGGCCAAGCTCACTTTTCCTCCTGGCTCTCTTAGAGGCACGATTCAGCCATGGGCCCCTTCCGATGCATATTTTATGGGATGGACTTCCAAGGTTGCAGAGCTCCTTCAGACTAGATCCTCCTACCCCTGGAGAAGTGGGTAGTGTTTACAGATAGGGGACCCTGAGGTTCAGATCACAGAAAGAGTTGCCTGACACTGTCCTGAAGTTAGCATGTCCTGTAGCCTGACCCCTAAAATTAGTTTCTGACTTCGAACCTAGCTCTTTCCCCACTGGCCTGGCTGCCCAGAGCCCACAGAAGAGGGAGCCGCTTTCCCTGTCCGCCTGGGAGGCATTTCTTCAAGGACACTATCTCCCTCCAGGGCAGTCAGACACTGGTGCCTTGGGTCACTATAGTAAACTTGTGCTTCTGCCCATCAGTGGGGAGTGAACCCAACAGTATTTTATCACAATTAGATGGGACCGAATTAGAAGGCATCACCCACAGGATCTAATATCTAGAAACTTCTAGCTCGGGTATGTTCGTGGGTACTGATTATGTTCTTGGTGACTGCAAACAATGACTGGGAGCAGACGTTAAAAATTTTGAAAACCACTGTCTAGGCCAATTTCCTTATTCCATTAACCCCACCACTTCCGTTGCTGAGAAAACAGACCCACAGGAAGGCAGGCACAGGCCGGAGGGCACACGTCGGGGCTTGTGGTTCTCGTGCTCGGGGCACACAGCCGTCTCTGATTTCCTCCAGGAGAGAGCTAATGGTTCCCTCCTTTTTTCTCCAGCATCCACTGTCCTCGTGGAAGGCCCCCAGCCCCTGAGCTCTGCCCTACCGCCGGCCCCCGACTCACCCAAGTTATAGAGCAGAAAGAGGCCCTGGAAGGCGGCCTGGCGGAGGTGCGGCCCGGCCCCTCGCGCGTAGCAGCGCCGCAGCGAGCCGAAAGCCTCGTGTACTTGGGCCTGCAGCAGCGCCTGGTCCACGGGCCCGCGCACCGTGTCGGGCCCGAGCCGCGCCACCACGGCCAGCAGCGTGGCCAGCGCCGCCTCCAGCACCACCGCCGCCTCGGCGTCGCTCGCGCTCTGCAAAGCCAGGTCGAGCCGCACGGCGCGCAGCCGGTCCGCCACGAAGCTGGCGACTTCGGCCCGGGACGCGTCGGCGCGCTCGGCCACCTCGCCG